CCTCTTCCCTTTTTCACTAGGGCAGGCTACAAATGTGCATGCAATTACCGCAGCTCGGCTGGCAGGCGGTACCTTGCCAAAGTGCAGTTGCTCAATTGCTTGATTTTTCTTTTTTCTTTCCCTATTTTTTTTTTCTCTTTCCCAGTTTAGCTTAAATCTCTTCCTAATTAATTTAAAGCAAGCTGACGTAAGCCTGATTTTTTGGCTAGGAGAATCTAGTTGAAGTGTCTTTTGCTCTGACTTAATTAAATCCTTTTTAAAGTTGCGCTGTAATTAAATGGGTAAAATTCAGCGTCTCCTGCTATTCCCCTGGGCTGTCCAGTTTCCCAAGCACCTCTTTACCTGCAGTTTTGAGGAATGCAGGAATGAGAATATTTAAAAAAAGAAAAAATAAACGGGATAAACAAGAGTTTCATAGAATGAAGGGAATGAATATTCCCAGCCACTTTGCAGAACTTCATCGTGCTTGCAGACTGCTGAGCGCTGGTACCAAAATAGCCCTGATTAATCACAGGAAATTTGTGTTATTCAGTCTTTCTTCCAAATCACCATTTACTACAGCAGCTGCTGCAGGAATGAAATGGCGAAAAGGAGAGGGGAAAAAAATGAAAGGCTCCACGTAGGGATTTGGGAGCTGAAGGTTGGTGCTTGGGGCCTGCTGCTCCCTCRCATGGAATGTGATGGCCAGAACCCGGAGCTGCCGGCGGGAATCCCAATAAGTGAAAAATCGGGAGGAAAATTCAGGATATCTCCTGGTTAAGCCTGCGTCGGGGGGGCCACTGCCTGGTGCTGCACAGGATCCTCAACTGGCATCTGAAGGGCACTGAAAATTGCTTTTTTCCCCCTTCTCGGATTTTGGGATGAAGGAATGAGTGGCATTCCCAGGCTTGCCCTGCAGCCCRAGGCTCTCGCCGCACCTGTCAGGTGGATGCACGAAGATGCCTGCACAAAGAGAATTGCCAAAAACTCCCGTTACTGCCTTAAAAAGGATGCGGCCGTGGCCCAGGAAAGCCAGGATTTCTRTTAGAGCTCCAAGCAAGAAGCACGAGAGGAGTCTGAAACCAGGAGACTACAATTTGGTGCTTTTAGGTGACGTTGCTCTCTTGTTTTCCCRTCATTTATACTTCCAGTGAGATGTCTCCCCTAGAAACCCCAGGAGAAAGCGGTAGTATCTGGTCTGATATAGATAAATACAAAACTTTTAGAAGGTTTTGCCTTCCTGTTTTTCTACTTTTCATCGTCACAAAAAGCTATCCAACATATGTTTCTGATTTTATTCCTGCCGCTTGTTCTAAACTGGCTGTTAGAGGGTATTTTGGGGGGCTCCTTAACCAGATCCTGTCAAAACGAGTCCTAAAAACCCCATAGGAAAACAGAAGAGAGCAGGGCCTGGCTGATCAGTTAGTTTTGCTTGGTGTTTTGGGCAGCAGGGCAGCAAACCAGCAACGTGCAGTGCATTTATTTGCTAGAGGAAAGGCAGCTATTGGTGCTTTGTAGGTAGGCATTTGGCAGGTATTTGGTATTTTAAGCGGGAGAATCTTCTCTTTCTTATTTATATCATTTTTCATGACATTGCATTTGTTTCCAGGGCACATCCAGCATTTGCTTCAGCCATCCGCAGGAGCAATGGGAGAATCGGGTTTAATTCAGAGTAAAAGGGGTCGTTCGGCACAGGCCTTGCTAGGAGCATGCCTAGCAAGTCAGGGCTGCAAAACCCCAACATGTAACTGGAAGCAGAGTCCTAGAAAGCCTCTGCTTTGAGTCCTCCTAACTATGGAAACCAACTTGTTTCGGTGCTGTTGGAACCAAATAGGAAGTTTTGGGATCTCCGGAAGATAGAAAAAGTGGAAAATCCCCAGGCTGGACTGCAGGTGCATTTACAACTGAGGCTTTTTCCCTGGTGGCCGTGGTGAATAGGCTGCTGCTTAGGAGGAAGGTGCTGCTTCCCCATCCAAGGCTGGGCTTTATTCCCCTTTTCTCTCCCCAAACTGTTTTGGTTGCAGCTTGAGGGGGGAGACGCAGGAGAACAGGCAAAGGCTCCTTCACCAGTTTCTCTCTTTTTCAGAAGCTTGATTAACAAAGCTGCTCTTTAAAATCCGGGCCTGGCCGTGGGCGTAAATGAGGTTTAATGCAGAAGAAGCTGCGATTAGAGACAGCAGAGCGAGAAGTTCGCTGCGAGCTCGTCTGCCGCCGTCACGAGGCGGCCAGGGGAGGCCRCTGAATGCAGCCCGTGCCACCCGGGGCAGGGGACACCGCAGAATAACGCAGAATTAACCTGCAGAAATGATGGTTGGTCCTGGGGATCAACCCGTGGGGAAAGGCCGTTTCTCCTCTTGTTGCCTCTGCTCTGCAGTAGCACTGSCAAAGGGCTTTTTTGTAGTTTCTTACACCTTTCAAAGGTGAAAGAAGCAAAAAGTTGAACCGTCCCGCCCATCGGTGCAAAAGCAGCTGGTTTGAAGTGACCCAAAGTGCCCCGTGTTTGGGGAAAGGGCCCTTTGCWGCACCCTTGCCCAGCGAGTCCGGGACCCAATGTGCACTGCTCTCCATCAGGATCAATATTCTGGCTTCCCAGCCTGTGTTCCGAGGCTCTCCTCAGGAAGAAGGCTGAGTGATGAGGGCAGTTTTACCTGTTGGAGGGGAAAAGTCATCAAAATGCATCAAGGCTGTTTCCTCCAGGTCTTCTGCAAGCCTGTAAGGCAGCTCTGCTGCTTATTGAGCCGCAGCAGCTTCTGCATGCATACGTGTGTGCTTAAAGATATATAGCTTTATGCATGCATATGTGTGTGCTTAAAGATATATAGTTTTTAGCTGTAAGCATTTGAAATATTGTCTCTGTGTAGCAACATAAGGGTTTGTTCTGCTCCAGAGCTTCACGTGCAGCGTGAGACAGGGCTGCTGTCCCTGCCCTTGCCCCGGGGCTTGTCTGACCACAGGATAAACTGGTTCCAGTGCCTGAGAACMTGTCCCTCGCTTCAGGATTTGCCCTGTGGTGGTTTCCTGCTCGGYGTGGGAAGGGGATGGCAGCAGAGGCTTCCCTGCCCCACAGCCTCCCCAGCTTTTAAACCCGCCCTTCGACACCGCATTTGCATCACGCGGCATCACACGTTTTAACTTACAAGCACAGAAATGGGCCCTTTTCTTTTCCTTCTTTATGCCTTGTATTGTCACTTGACAAAGTGGGTGTCAAATCCTAACAATCTCATCCCGCCATGCTCAGCACCGGCTTCTTGCAGCTCCGCGCTAGGAGCGAGGATGTGGTGGGGAAGCAGGGGCCGTTTGCACCTCAAAATCCCGCTCTCCGTGGAGCCGCCTGCTTCCAGCTGCTCTGGATCCTCCCGGGACCGCTTGGCAAATGCCCGGGGATGGGCAGTGGGAGTGCTGGGGATGGACAGAGCACAGGGCCAATGAATTCTGTGCTCAGGCCAGCCTCAAATGGGAAAATAAAGGAAAGGTGGGGAATAGCAAGTACTGGAATGAGTGCTAATTAAATCCACATTAGTGAAAATGTTAATACTACTGGGCTTTTTTTTTTTTTTTTTCTTGAAATAATTTGAAGCTTTTTCTTTCTTCCTGCCTCCTTCGTGCAGAACGCTGCAGACTCACTGTTTGTTTTCCAGTGTTTTCCAAGCCCGAGCTGGAATGTTGGTGCCCGGAGAGCAGGGAGCGATGGCAGCGCGGGAGCCGGCGCGCGCAGGAACCCCCGGCAGCCCGTGGGGCTCCTCTCTGGACTCGCTGCACCCACAGCTCCTTCCAGGAGCCATTTGGGCTGCTCTGAGGTCGCTGCTTGCACAGGAGCTCCTAGTTCCTGTCCCCGTCGCTTCGCATTTGCGCAGAGAGACTTCTGGAGAGGCTGAGTTGCACTGAAGCCCTTTCCTTGCCCCGATGCCATTTGGGCGCCGTTTCTCTTTGCATCACAGTTAGTGGTGGCTCTCTGGCAGCGTTAATGGTATTTCCCTGCATCCCGCCTGGCAAAGGATGCAGAGCCTCTGCGCCCGGCATCTCCACCAGCTTCAGGCTTTTGCTGGGGTTTGCCCAAACGCCCCCGTTTTTGTGCCCTGCTCTCATTATTTCCCTTGCTCTCCAGTCATTGTGTGTTGAGGGGAGTGGTCTGCTTGGAGGCGAGTGGATATGGATATTTTTCACCAAACTGTGAGGCTTTTACAGATTCTTTTATCACATGTGCGTTTCACTGGTGATTTCTATATTCAGAAGTCCTGGAGGTTGATGATATGTTTTCCAAAGATGCAGCTGGGAATCAACTCCAGCCATCATTTCCATACATTGAGGTAACACTGTAGCTTCTCCTGCACTGATGTATGGAATAGCACGATGAAACCGTGCCCTAGCTTAATGCCAGGATGATTAAATGAATCATGAAATGCCTCTAATAAAAGCAAGGTTTAGAAATGTTTTTGTGCTGGGCCTCATCATCTGTTACCTTTCCTGTCCTTGCTCAGACTTAGGCACTCTTGGACGAGTTTCCAGAGTGTCCTGCACCTTGTTCCCCGCCTCATACTGCTCTGAAGGGCTCTCTGGTGCTCCTTCCTCCTCCGGAATTGGGGCAAGGAGGGTGTTTTTGCCTTGGGTCAGTTCCTGGCTCCGTCTGGCCCTTGAAATGGGCTCTGGCAAAGGAGGAGAAGCAGCACAGGGATGTATGAAAGGCCTGGGGGGGATTCCTGCACGCTGGGACCATCCCAGCTTTTTGCAGTGTGAGATGTCTCCATCGTGATCCCCATGAGGAAGGATTTTGGGGCAAGGGGAGAGCAAAGGATATTTGAACAGCTTAATGGTATCACTTTCTTCTGGCATCTACACAGTGAGTATTAACAGGGTCAATGTCCTCATCTGCTCCTATCACAAGCAAATGGGGAGCAAATGGCTTTTTCCTTCTTCCTTCCAGCTTCTCCTTCACTCTGCAGAGGCAATAAAATCTCTCCTGCAGAAGATGAAGAGGCAGTTTGGAACTGAGCACCTTTTGTTCTTTTTCTCCTCTCTTGCAGACTTCGTTCTACGGCAGATTCAGGCACTTCTTGGATATCATCGATCCGCGCACTCTCTTTGTTACCGAGGTAAGGTGTGTGCTCCTGTGCCTTCTGCAGCTACTGTTTATTGCACAGGTTGGGATGAAAAACGACTTGTTCTGTGAAGAGCAGGACTAATGAAGCCGGGTTTCCCATAGATTTGTGTCTCGCGGGCCATTGATTGCCTGGCCAACTTGTGTTGCTGCCACAGCTGAGGCTTGGCCTTTATCAGACATCAGCGAATCCCCACCCATCCTCCTGCCCCGTTTGGGATGCCCAGAGCGCGTTTCAGTGAAATTTGCCAGGAATACAGGAATTTCCCTGGAAAAACGGAGCACTGTCGCTGAGGGCACCCCCATCAGGAGCTGGTGGAAGAGGTGAGTGGCTGCACGAGCTCCTCGCTGGGCAGCGCGTGCCTGAGGGGCATCCCGAGAGCCAGAACTGCTGTGGAAAAGCCCGTTTGCCCCATCAGCCAAGGAGAAACCCATGGATTGTGGTGGCTCCTGTGTGCGCTCTGGTCCTTCTGGTGCGGGCTCTGCTTTTATTACAGGGGGTTCATCCTGCAGGTTTCCCATGGCCACCTGCASCGAGACGACCCTTTCCTGATAAGGGGATGTCATTTTTTCCATAGTATTTCTCCCAGCTGAACTGGGCGTTTAAGCTTCTGACCTATTTGCATTTCATTACTGTTGTCCAGCATTGCTGCATTTCGCCACGCTCACAAATAGCAGCTAATCACTGCAGGGGAGGAAGCCCTCGGAAGGAATATTCCTCTTGGAAATCTGCCTGCGGGCCAGAAAACTCCCAATTTTGCTTTTGGTGAAAGGCAGCTGCTTTTCTCTCAGTCTTTCTCTCTTGGAGGTAGTATAAATAGGAAAAAAATACAGGCCAATCTCATTCCTGGGGCCCTGGGAGCCRAGCTGCCCACTGCAGCTAGTGGTGAGTCCAGTGCCTTGCACATGGTGACGGAAAAGTGCCTGGAACCGCTTGAAACTTTTTTCTTTTGTTTTCCCCCMAAAATCTTTTGGCTTCTTTTTCCCAAATCTATTGGCTTCTTTGAAAACCACACGGCTAAGATGTGCTCCTTTTGACAACTGCCTTTTGGGTGTGTGCCCGAGAGAAACGCAGACAATCAGGCAGCTGTTTTGGCAGCAAATTGAAGATTGCGATTTCACTTGTAAAAACCCAGGTTCCGATGAAGGACGAGATGAGCTCTCAGAAGCCAACGCTCCKGTTAGGGAGCCCGATCTGGGGAAGCAGCTTAGCTGCAAAAAGCATCGTGATTCCAGCGGGAGATCGTTTGCTTCCAGGGTCGTGATAAAAAGCAGTGGAAACCCGGGCCYGGGGTGATTTCTAGGTAGGAAAGGCAAAATCCTTTAAGATACCAACCTCTATTTACACTAAAGAGGTGGTAACGGAGCAAATGCTCAGGTGAGGGAGAGGGACTGTCCGTGGCKGATGTCGTAGTGCACCAAGAATGCTGATTAAAAACCCAAAGAGCAGTGAGGAAACTGAGGCTCAGGCATGTCCGGAAGCTGGCAAACATTAAAACACCTCGTTCTCAGCAGGGTAATATGTGCTGGGAATCTTTAGGGAGTTGGTATTTGATGTATGTGCTGGTGTMGTGCTCCAGGGCATCAAGATCCCCATGCTTCAGGGATCCTGCATCCTGGGGATCCGGGCAGCTGCTCCAGGAGCTCCCCATCTGCTCACCTGCAAGGGGACAAGTCCAGTGCACGGCCCTGATTCACAGGCACAGCAGAGCAAAACTTCTGCAGTTCTGTCTTGTTTTGCACATTTGGGAGTCTGCAGACGAGAGAGACTTGGCTGAACTCAATGGGGCTCTTTGAATCTGTCAGACTGTCTCCCTGAAGTCTGGTACTACTCTGTTCCTTTCTTTTTTTCCTACTTTTTTTCCTTTTGGGTGGAGATAATCCATCCAGTTCTGTTTAGCTGAGATTTCTCTTCCTTTGGGAATGTTTCCATGTTCTAATAATATTCTTTACCTTTCTCAAAACTTCCTTTCAGTCTTTAGTAGGCGTGTGAATGTACACAGAACATGAGTACATGTGTATGTGTGTGAATATATTTTTAGCTAGTTAACCTGCTGTGCACTATATAATACCAWGTTATTGAGTTTTAGAACGCTACTAATGCAGAAAAAAAATCAATTCTCAGATTTATTTCCTGTGTATCCCAGGGGTGCAGGGAGATGACTGAACTTGATCAAATTAGTGGTTTGGGGGTTTTTTGTTTGTTTGTTTTTTCTTTTTTGTCACAAAATAAGTTTAAGAAAACGCACTGTGTTCCCGTTTGGGATGGGGCCATTGGCCTTTGCACTGCAGGTGAGGCAGCATGGGGCAGAGCTGCGTGTCCGGACGGTCCAACTYGCTCCGTGCCCAAAGCCGGTCGCTCACCTTGCCCAGCCCCTCATCTGCAGAACCAGGCAGGTGGCTCCAGCACCAAAACTGCTGTTTCAGCATCCCAAAGGTGCCCTTTTCCCCTCCCCTGGGCATTTCTTTCTTCCTGTGAGGGCTGAGTCTCTTCTGGAGTTAGATCTAGACCCACTTGAGGGCAGTTATCTCGTTTGTTATGCCCTGTGGGATACAGAGGGTGCCGAGGTTTCCTTTAGCTAGGAAAGCTCCATGAAAGCCAGCCACCAGCTCCGAACTTGGAGGAGATGGAGCCCTCCTTTAGCTCACCTGCATCCTTCCCATTGCCCCCTCTTCAGATTTTGAGAAGCTTTTGAAGACATTGGAAGGTTGGGGTAGTCAACTAGTCAAGCTGTAGTCAGCTAGGATAAGGTAAATTTTCCATGCAGATTCTCCCAAGCAGGTGAGACACAGGGGGGGAAAAAAAAGAGCCAAATCTGAGCTGTTTTTTGTCTTGGCCACGAATAAAAAGAATTGAGTGTCTCGAGCGATTCTGGACCCAAAACAAGCCTCAACAAAGGAGATTTGTTTTCCTTCTGTCTGAGCACAGGCTTGAAGTCCATGATTTTCAGGAATGGCTTGGTGCCTCTCCACAGGAGGAGACCCCCTCGTCCTTTCTCTGGCTGCTTGAATTGCATTGGAGTGATGACCTCCTGCATTAGACCAATAGACCTTCTGCAGCGTGTCGTRGAGTCTGCATTAGCTCTCTTTCCTGAGATAAGTCTCTCTGCAAAACAGATATTTATTATTAATACGTGGTGCCATGGAAAGCAGAACATAAAACCTGCCTTGTCAATCGACCTACTTGCAGAGCGCCGCGCGTCTGGTTTTGTGCTTTAAAATACTTGGTGCCTATGTATGTGTAACCAAAAGCTGTTTGGTTTCATTTGATAATTTAAGTGGCAAATTAAAACCTATAAAGGGTTTGAAGGCAAAAAGATGAACATGCAGCCGGTTACGGAGCGCTCCTTCCCGCTGACAGATGGCTGCAGCTTTCAAGCCCAGGTTCTCGGCGAACAAATACATTGCTGTTTGTCTTGGAGGAGCTCACCAGCAAATGAGAGAAGTAAATAAATGTGTCTCTAGTGGGAATGGAGGTTAATCCCATGAAAAAAGGCTGGGGAATGTAATAATGTCTATATTTTTTTCCTGCTTCCTTTAGTTGCCTTGCATTACATCATTCCATCTTACTGGTGGCTGATGATTCCCCTGTGTGAGGCAACCAAGAGGGTTGATTCATAATGAAGAGATTATGAAGGGAGTTCATAATTTTTATTGTATCCGAGTAGCTGTATGGTGCCTTTAGTTTTGGTATCAATAGGAATCATCTTTTACCTGTTTRTTTATTTTTTTAAGTACAGCAAATTGTTAGCACAGCTAAAAACTCTTGTATTTTAGAGGTTCTTGCTGATGGGGTGCATGGTAAGCGTGAGGTTCAGCAGCGCTGTGCTGCGGAGTCTGAACTCCAAGGAAGAAACATCCCTGTGCAAAACGTGCTGCAGTGGTGGAGCTGAAGGTCACTTGCCCCGGTGTTGTGTGAGGAGCCTTCAGGTAGGAGGATTATCCGCATCACACTTGGGAAGCGAAGGAAGTCGGTAGCCCTTTCCTGCAGCAGAGCAGCAGGCTGCGTGTCACCTCTAAAGGGAGGGTTTCCACGTGTGCCCGTTCGTGTCCTTGCTCGCTTTCTAATGAAATAATATTTGGCTGCAGCAAATTTGCCAGCTTTTCCGGTAAGCGGGAGCTGTGTCGCTTCTCAGGTCGGGCCCCACAAGGCTGAGGCCCTGAGAACCCCCACAGTGGGCGTAATGTCTATTTTCTGGRATGTGTGAGGTCAAAGTGACTGGAGTAATACTTTTAATTGCTTTGTAATTGCKCTTCATTGGGAGAAGCAGTAGGGACCAGCAGATATTTTTGTGAGGCTTCCTCCATCTGACACAAGCTTGGACAGACTGTTAACACACTGTGGGAAGCTCCTCATGGAGGAAGCTCTAGATGTGACAATAAYGTGAAGGAAAAGTCACAGAAGAGCTAAGAATTGCGTGGTGCTCGGAGGGGCTCTGTGTGTGTTATCTGCTTGTACTTCATCTCATTGTTTAAAGYGTAGATCTACAGAGCGCTGAGCATCTTGCATTCCCATATTTGGGTTTAAAATGGAAGCAGGATTAGATGTATGTTATTTATATGAACGATACCTTCTTACTCAGCAGATTGACTGTCTGTGTTTATTCAGTGTCACATCTGCTGGCTCTACTTGAACAAAAAGTTTCTGGCTCCTGTTGTCTGTCACTTAGATCCAATACAATAGGGCCAGCTGGAGTCGAGTCTGCCGTATGTATCATCCCATCGACTCGGGAGGGAAAAATGGGAATGCGTGGAGTCGCCAGAGGCAGCGCACAGCTGGATCTCCGGATCGCGCGGGCAGGTTGTGGTGCCCATGGGCAGCAGCATCTCTCTTGGTTTGGGACCTTGCAGGAGGCCAGTGCTCCGGCAGCCTCARTGAGGCCTCAAAAACTTGACTTTTTGTGTCTCTCGTGGGGCTGAAGCGACGTTGTGCTGCTGGCACCATGGCTTACTCAGACCTGCACATGCACCTATGGTTCTTTGGAGGCAACTCCA